CCCCCCCCCCCCCCCAAAAAACCCCCAGTACGGCATCATCCTCATCGTGATCCCCGTCAGTTTACCAGGGATATTGAATATGATCATTTCGCGTCGTCGCCCTGTCCTACAGTGGTTCCCGTTGTGGTTACTCTCCATCTTCCATCCACGGCCGTCTCCCGCTCCCCAGGATCTGCTGCGCCTCGCTCTCCCTTTTTCTTTATTTACGTCACCCCCACCCGCCGACTAGTTTTTGCAGAGTGCAGACCACGCCAATGTGCACTCTCCTCCCCGATCAGGCCCATCGTCGGCTCCCCACACTCCTTTGGCCCGAGCACCGAGGACAGTGTGTGAAAGCGAGGCACAGCAGAAGCCGTCTAACCCTCCCTACCGTGGCATCGTGGCGGGCGATCACCTCTGGGGTTGGTCTGCACTGCGGGTGAAATTGGCCTTAGCTTGACACGGCCAAGCGCCGGACGGCGTCAAAATCTTGTGTGGACGTCAAGGTTGCTGCCCGCGCTGGTCCAAAACTGCCCCCCCCCCCCTCCCCCTCTCGCCGGACATGGCCCTCGTCGATTCGACTGATTGAGCGCCGCCGAGCCTGAAGCCAAGGCCATCTACACCTTGACACGAATGGCGACATTTGCCTAGGCGGAGGACCTCGACGGTAATCGATTGGTGGAGGGGAAAGAGCGCGCAGCTTGGCTTTCTGGCTCTTGCTGAAATTGAGGAAGGGGGGAAGGGGGGGGGGTGTCTGTTATTGGAGCCAATTTTCGAGAGCTCCCAAGTCTCCACGGGCAAGCCTTTTGTGGGCGTCCTGGGCGAGAAGCTGGGCAGCATAGGTAGGATGGATGATTCATTCGTTCGGTCAATCGAAGTCTTGTGTTGGGCTGCAATGAGATTGAAGCCTTCGTTTGGAGGCCGGCCAAGACGACGGACTTTTCTACTTGCATCTCTTGGCTGCGCGAGCACGTATCGAGGAGTCGGACAGCGGCGCGCGAGAAGAGGGGTATCACACGGGCGGACCAAGGAGAAGGTGGGCAATCAATGAGCATGTTGCGTTGTCAGGTTCAAAATCACGCGATGTGATGGGATGTGCCAACTGATTAATTGCGAAATCCTCCATGTTGGAAGAGACAGGTTCCGCACTCAAAGATAGTTGCCTGAAGATATTCTCGTCTCGTACAACCCCATCATCCTCCCTAGGGGGGGTCGACAGGGTGTATCCGGCTCAAGATCAGAAGCTGGGGGCTGACTGACCGAGCATGGCAAGAGACGGCTTAAGGCAGCAGCGGATAAGGGGGAAAACAAGGTAAGGATAGGGTATGGTGGGCTGCGATGATCCAAATGAGCGCTTGCTCCGACACAGAAAGCTCAACGGCTTGATTGAAGCTGCATTGAGATGTCTCGACTGCTCGTCCACGGCTGCCAGTAGGCCGCGCATTGTGACGGCGTCTCGTGCTAGACCTGTCGTTCGTCGGGTGGTGGTGAATGATGGACGTCAAATGGGTTGAAGTTGTGTGGCACGAAAAATTGAGGTCGACATCGGCAGAAATTCGGCACGCATGCTGTGCCGATTGAGACATGGCCCCACTACACCCGCCTGGAACAGTGGAAAGACAGCAATACTGAAAGCCCGCAGTCAGTCGCTCCGTTGTCAAGCATCGAGTCCCCCAATTGGCGGCGTCGTTTCCCATTGAACTCATCACTACCGACGCTTCAATGCCTCGCTGAATACCCTTGGAGGAAAGAGACCAAAATTGAGTAGCACGCTGCTTCATAGCTGGGAATGCAGAACGTGTTGATGGAACTTGCGCGACGAACAAGCTTTCCATGTTTTGGAATGTGTCTCCATGACTGCTGCCGATCATGTATCCCTTCCACCTTCACCGGGCGTGCCTGCCTGATGCTCAACGAACGCCCTGGTCAAGGGACGCTGAGGGTGGATGTCTGACTTGTCCGAAAAGTCTTGCGCAGCGAGAGCATCGAATTATCAGACCTTCCGTCTCAAATCTTCCATCTTCTGCCTGTGGCGATGTCACCACCCATTCGACGCGTGTAAACAGTAGCCTTCCTTCGCCTTGTACCTGTCCTGGTATCGCAGACTCAGAAATCCAATGCGCCACCACCAAAAACTGGCGCCACTGGCCAAGTCCTTCCAGGCATGTTTGCGACACGTGCCTCACGTCGCCATTCTTGTCTTGTTGGTGTCAATAGCATCTCAGTATTTTCATCATGGTATTTCATCGACCTCTGTGCTGGCACTACCGAGGTTAACACGCATAGGACGACATGACCCCCTCAAGTGTAGAGGCCTCCTTGCAGAAGGCAGTTGGCAGCCTCAAGGGCACTCTGGTCTTCCTGAAGATGTCTTCAAGGCCTGGCACCCCAGCAGCTGCACAGCTCACACATATCGCGCGGATGATGTCAAGGCCTGCCTCGGAGGGCGTCGCCTCGTCTTTGCCGGCGACTCGACCATCCGTCAGCTATTCTGGGCAGCCCTCAGACGTCTCGACCAAGAAATGTACGAGCGAGAAGCTCGCACTTTTGCCCTACTCCAAGACAGGGCCGTGGATCTTTCTTTTCTAGTCCACCATGTACAACTCGACTTCGTCTGGGATCCGTGGCTTAATTCCACAGCCCTTTTTGGCCAGTTATCGCAGTTCAGATTGCACCCCGGAACAGCCGGCCACGAAAAGACAGCTAAGGAAGAGGGCCGAGACTCTCCCAGCGTCGTCGTCTTGGGCACTCCGGGCCTCTCTGCCGCACGCAATGCCGGCACAAGATATCTTGAGACCTTTAGCGAAGGCATCAACACCGTGATACACTATCTTCATGGCAACATCGATGACAGCATTCATGTCCCTAGTTCTAGAGATCAGGCGGCGTATGATGAGCTGTCCAACCTTGTTGTGCTTGCGCCGGTGCAATTTCCCGCCTACGACAGGCTCTCCTTTAGCAGAGGCGAGCAGATCACCCCCGCCAAGATCAGCGCAATGAATTGGAATCTCGAGACCTCTGCCTCCCTGGATCAGTCGCACATTATGTGGAGCTACAACCTCATGACTGAAGGACCCAACGACGCATACGATGAAGACGGATTTCATGTGCTGGATAGGGTAGCGGACTGGCGTCTGAACATCATGCTTAACGCTCGCTGCAATACTGGTCTGGCGAGGAGCAGCCCATGGCGGAACGAGATCACATGTTGTGTTCCTTACTCGGTTCCGACCAGAGTCCAAACTTTGTTCCTGCTGTTGGCGTTGCTTGGTCTCCCCTGGTTGGCATTGGACAGTGACCAAAAAGCTTTTGAGGCCTCAGGAGCTCGACGTTCTATCTCAGCGCTGATCGCGGTGGCTTACATGCTCGCCATCGCTGGTTATTGTTATCTCGCTGATAGAACGCATCTGTTCGACAAGATCGCAAAGCAATTCGAGACGTCATCCGTCGCATGGTCCTCCCTTTTGCTGGCTGTCCTAGCAACGGCTTCTGTCCGGTCGAGTCGAGCGGGGTTTCTGGCGCCAATACATCACAAGCCCGTGTCTTTCCTAGGCCGCGACCAGACCGAAGAGTTGAAAGGCCTGATGCAAGGATTCCTTCTGCTATACGACTTTCACGGCGCTTCGGAGATACCAGCTATGCACCTGCCGTTTCGATTATGAA